ACACATACATATTCATATATGTATGTATGTCTATTTATGTCTATGTTTTTGTCCATATGATGACTGACTCATTCCATAAAAGACTCTGACCTGAGAGCTCTAATGCTCAGCAAACCATATTCAACAGTTTGAAACAAAAAAAAAATTCTGAGTTTCTTTTTCTGTCTGCGCATGTATTGCTTCATTAAAGTTTTTTTTTTTTTTGCCATTGGGTTTGACAGCTGATTGAACAGCACTTAAAGGTCTGACTCTGTTACATGTTGTCAACATGTAGTTGTTACAATTACAGTTTCTTTGTTTTAATTATTATTGTACCATTTCATCAGTTTTATTTACTTCTGTGTTTTTCTCTATTTTACCTAAACAGGTTTCCTCTTTGTCTTCCGTCGTCATGACGCACATCTTTGTTTATGGGACCCTGAAGAAGGGCCAGCCCAACAACTTTCGCATGTTTGACCACAGCAATGGAAAAGCCGAGTTTCTCGCCTCTGCCTTCACAACGCAGAAATACCCTCTGGTGATCGCCGGCAAGTACAACATCCCTTTCCTCCTCAACCTTCCTGGAGAGGGTAACAGAGTTCATGGGGAGATCTACAAAGTGGACGACCAGATGCTGAAATTCCTGGACGACTTTGAAAGTGTCCCTACCTTGTACCAGCGGACTGTGGTGGAGCTGGAAGTGAAGGAGTGGACGGGGGATGCAGATGGAGCGGGAAGACCATCACCAGGAAGCATCGTAGAGGCGTCCTTCTACAGCACCACCACTTACCAGCCAGAATGGCTCTCGCTGCCCAGCTCTGAGAGCTACGACGCAAACGGAGATCATGGACTCGTGTATGTGACCCGAGAGGCAAGAGACTGATGAAGCTCTCTGTGGTGACACAGCAGGTGTGCTAACCCCGTTTGCGCCTCGGCGACTGTTAGATGAGTATATGGGGAGCACATTTCATTCCAAGGTGTGATCCCCATAACATAATTTATCCAGACAAATGCAGGGTAGGGGACGGTTACTAGTTTTAGGTGGGCATTAATGCTGCGATTGCCAAATTCTCTGTTTAAAACCATTCACGAAGCATAAAGATAAATTCGATAATTCCCATGTTTGTGTCATATTTCACTTCATAAAAATAAGCCCCTTTTTAAGCACAAAAATTAAGTTCTGTTAAGCAGTTGAATTTAAGGGCTTTTACTTAAAAAAAAAAACTTAAGTGAATCATCTTCTGTTGCACCATCTCTGCAACAGTTCATTTTCTGCCCTTTTGATATTAGTAATAATTGGAGTACTTTGCTCAGGGTAATTTCAATCAAGGCATCATGCTAATGCTTGAGATTTCTATGAAAAACATTTAAAAACGTATAAGTTAAGTTTCCACTTAAGTGGCACAGACAACTGTACTTAAGTTCAGCACTGATAACAGCTTAAGTGCCTTAACACTTGTGAATTGGGAGAGTTATGCAAGTTGCTTTCTGATTACTTACACATATCAAAACTTTTTTCATACTGAGAGTTGCTCCATGTATAAGTTGTTTCCACTGGTATTCTTAAAAAATGCTAAATTCTACTCCTGCATCTTAAACAGCTACAGTCGGTGTTAACCCCTTTTTCCCATCACTTCATGAACCCCAACTTCATGAACTCCAACAAAACACACCACATAATCCACTGTGTCTTGGTTAAATGCAACAAGTTACAGGGCTGCAAACCTGATTTGTTCTTCCCAAAACAGAACTGTTTTCTAGTCCAGCAAATGTGTTCATCATCATTCCTGTTCTGTTCTGATGTCCTGAAGGGTTTTTGTGGTTACCTGATAAAAGAAAAATACAAACATTCTCTGGTTTATCTCATTTATTTTTCATATGAACACAATCTTTTCATCCTTATTTAAAATAGTAAAATCCAGAGAGCTGGAGGAACACTGCAGAGAAGGTGATTGGCAATCACCCAATGAAATCTCTGTTGGCTTTGGAAGAGGGTCTGAATTGGCTATTCAAACAATACCAGATGAAGAAAAACAATGGAAGAAAGTTTCACAGTGTATCAAAATACTGTACAAAAAGGATGCATTAAAAAAATTAAAAGATGGTGTTTAAATGGGTCCAAACGCATCACGTTGATTTAATCTCATATATAAACGAGTGTTCACATGCACACAGCTTTCCACTTATATTTCAAAACATTTAGAAATATATCAGAGAGTATTTTAAATCTTTAGGGGGGAATGAAAATGTGAAACACGCTACATACTTGCAGTGAGCAGATGTCAGCGGTGTATTCATGTGACCAGCTCTAAATAAGGCAAAACAAAAACCGCACAAACAACACACTGCAAGCACCTTTCAGTTTGGCGCAGAAAAGTCAGACGCTTGCAGAGTGGTGGTGGAGTCGGAAGACCTCTGAGTGAAAAGTGAGTTCAGAACTATGAAATAAAAGGCTGGAGTGGCTGATGTGTGCAATTGAATCTCCAGTTCAGAGTCTGTCCTGCTATTTGTGCAGCCTGATGTAAAGATCTTCATCTAGGCGAAAGGCAGAACGATGAAGAGGCGGGACGGCGAGGAAAGCAGATTCATTAGTAAAGATCTTTCCTGGTGCTCTGCAGGGAGCGGCTGGCAGAGCAGGTCGCACTGCGGATTACTTCCATCCACCTGAGAACAAAACAATGACAAGGAAACCGACTGAGCAACATTTTTCAGATGGTTAGAGGCCACTCTTTGTGCCTCTATAGGTGCATTCACCAAGTTGTTTACACTCCCTTTTAAATTAGACTCAGAATCGTTACATATTGTCAAAGTATCACATGTTGGACACAAAAACATCTACATTTTTACACTTCCGTCCATCTTTCTCAATGAGTACCCACCTATCAAAGGTGTACTCGCTTTCTGATCTGAAGTAGTAAACGTGGGATTTAAAGTGAAGTTTGAAGACATAATCTTTGTGTATATTCTCCGACTCTCCTGGGACTGTGATAGAGTAGCCCAGAAGTGGGAGACTGGCCAGAGGGTATTCATCCTGCAGTCGAATGAAACAGAGGAATAGGATGACCTTTGTTTATCATCATTTAGAAGTGATCACAGAGCACACACTGAATGTTTAATCAATGACATGTAAGCTGTAGCAAGTGTCTACATGTCTAACCTGGTGGGATTTGTAGAAGAAGAGACTGAAGTTGGTGAAGACCACCCAGAGTTTTTGCCAGCCATTGCTGTTCTTGAACTTCCTCAGCAGGTTACCTGAGAGCTGGTTCTGCAAACACAGGTGAGAGAACACAGAGAGCACATTGCTTAAGAAAAAGACACAGACTCCATTTTCATGTTAAAACTGGAAATAGAAAACTGTCAGCCTCCATCTCCATTACTCTACTTCACTTTGCTCCATGCATGCCAATAACATACTTCCGTTAACGCACAGGACTGTGTATTTCCAGTTTTGTTGCATACATTAATATAATGTCATGTTTACTGTGTATTCGTGATGAAATATCAGGAAAATCTCCTTGTATGGGCGTGTTCTCAGCTGCTGTAGTACCTCTTCAATCCCCCAGGTGCAATTTATGGACAGGCTGTGTGTTCTGCTACAGCAATCCACAGGGAGAGACAGGGACCCCTGAAGGCTGCTGAGGGGCCTCAGCAACTCACTGGCCGGACTACTGACCTCGACTAATGCCAGTGTGGACAGATACACAAATGGAGGCAACGATGGAGTCAGTAGAGAAGGATGAAGATGGAGGGGGTGAAAATGAGGATGAGAAGATAAAGACAAAGGACACTGTAACAACTGTCCTTTGTCTGTGCAGAAAACCAGGATAGAAGACGGCACACAACAGACAAAAACATGACAGGAGCTGATGTCCAGAGAGCAAAGTAAGACACAAAAACACAAGGGTACCTCCACGGCTATGCTAAAATCCACCATGGACACGCTTGTGTTGCGATGCCAGCAGACGTGCACCGTGGTGTTACCACGGTGACCCTGACGCTCTAGAGATGAGCGTGAGCCGCAGAGCTCCTCCTCCGACTCCAGCTCGACTCCACCGTCCTCTGGCAGCTCTGGGGGAGCACGAGATGAGTCAGACGCCATGGATAGAGAGAAGAACTGCACCCTCAATGAGTAAAAACTGTATTTTATGGGTTCATCCCACTGCCTTCACTGGGGGAAATGTGAGCATTCTGTTCACTGAGCTGCACAGACAAAGCACCTCTGGGGTGTGGTCCACAAACCTGCAGCTAAGGCCCACATCGACTGAAATGTTCCTGGCACCTCATTCAAACTTTTGCCTCAAAGATTGAAGGGAGCATAAAAGGTAAAGGTGTGTCAAAGCAGTGCTGACATTTTATGTGCAGCACACAGTGGACATTCTATGGTAAGAGAGGCATGATTCTGAAATGCAAACTAAAAGCAAGGATCATTTAAGGCTTGCGATGAGTGAATCCTAAAAGGATTGGTTGTTGTGTTCTATTCCAAGCTTGAGCTTAATGCCAAAGCGCTGATGTGTAGTTCAGCATGAATGACAACTATGGAACTATTAAAGGCTTAACTGTCACTGTGAAAAGCTGCTTGAGTTCAGGAATCATATTACCTCTGAGAAACAAGCTCTGCAACGTTTTGAGCACCCATGTTCTCCATGTGATGGGCTAACACTGCAAATGTCAACTGCTTCTAGTAAGAAGTGAACGTTTTTATATTTTCTGTGTTACCATGTTGTACATCTCATGTAATATACAAAGAAGTTAACTTCTTTAACAAAAGAAGTTACATTTTTTGCATGATGGATAATTCAGGTGAGAGACAAAGGAGAGGTGTCAAAGCAGAAAAACACCAGGTGTGGCCCAATTGAAAACTGGTATGTGAGGATGAAAGGATTGAAAGATGGAAAACTAAAAGGTCAACTGGAAACTGCAGCCTTTTCTATCAGATAATCTCTTGTAAAACTTGTCCGGAATTGCAGCATCTGCAGGCGGTTTGGTTTTTGGGAGATTAGAGAAGCATCTTACTGTTGTCAGTTGGACTGGTGGAGAGCTGGTTACCATTTGAGCTGCTGCTCTGCTCTGCCAGGTCAATGGCCATCCTGATGTCCTCCACCCACAGCTCCATCTCTGAAGCACAGCTGGACACCAGAAGAAATATGAAATAATACTGGATTTAGATAAACAGTCAATCAGCAAAAAGCAAATCACAACTACAAGTCATCAAAAATATGTGTGCGCCATGGAATACAATCTGTTTTCCAACCAGCCCAAACCTAACTTAGTAAGGGTGTCACTGAATAGAAAGTAGGTCACATTCTCCAATTAAGCTGGACTGCAAACCAAGAATGTACTGACTTTAATGAGGCTGACCTGCACTTGTCACTTCTAATCCATTTCCTTACTTTGTCCACATGTTCTTTCATTTTTTAGTACATAATATTTAGACAGAGCAAATATGTGTAAGAGTGTACCTGGCTGCCACCACCATAGACTGACGCTGCCCAAACAATGTGAAAGAGTGAGGGACTCCCCACTCCTCTTCACTTTCTCGGATCTGCAAGAAAAACACATCACCAACTAATGAGTAATGAAAACAAATTAAATGGCAGCTAAAACAATATGATCCTTAGCAGTAGCATACATTCTTTTTAGACTAAAAAAGCCAAGCCGCACATGGAGGTTTGTAATTTTTGTAGTTATGCCAGTCAAACTTTGAATTGGTATGTACCGTCATGCCATAAAGAGGCAGCTGTCCATGAACCTTAAACTGGTTGGATGGAGTCATCCCTCGACTTGTATACACCAGTGAATCACTGAACTGAAGGGAAAACACATTAAGAGAGTTAGAAAATAATATTTTGATATCATCATTCCAAAACTGATGTGCAGAGTTTTACCAGGAAGAACATTCTCTGCTGAAGACCTTTCCCAGACAGTTTGCTGAGGCATCCAAGCCTGATGAACTCCTGTGAGTTAAAGACAAAAACAACATTAGCTCACAGAAGGAGGAAAAGAAACCCAAATGTCGAAGATGAGAGCCAGAAAAATAAATCTAACCCTTCCAGGGATGACCAGGTTGTCGATGCCGGTCAAATCTTTCCTCAGCTCCAGAAGCTTCTGGAAGTTCTCCATCTTCATCATGGTGCCCTGAAGCTGCAGAACCATTTCAGAGATGTCTGCCAAGGCGGCTGAAGGGAGGGAGTTTTTTCATTATGAGATGCTGCATAAGAAAAGCCACGCACATGATGGAGAAAACATGGATGCACACGGGTACCTCGGCAGTCTCTGAAATCCTCATGGGTGGGGGGGTAATGCTTACAGAACCTCTCCAGGATAAGTTTATAGTGCAGCAGGCGGTGCAGAGGCCTGAGGAGGAAGATGTAGAGGGGCAGGTAGCAAACTCTTTGCTGCTCAAAGTCTCGACACAGAGCTTCCACTTTCTGATTTGATCTGAGGAGAGAAGAAGACATTCTTTCTAAATTCTACTACAATTTGGTCGACTTCTTTGTAAATGTTCATCTGCATTTCTCTACCTAGAAGCCCGTTCCAGTTCCACCAGGCACTCTGAATGCTTCTGGAGATGAATTGTCAACTGCTGCTTGTACAAAAGAGTTATAACCAAAACCAGAGTGAGAGGTCATGTGTATAATCCATATGTAAAATAGACAGTTGAGATTCTTGGCACAAAGAGAGGAATGGAATATTTACCCTCAGGCCTTGAATGTTCTTAAGTAAAATATCACCGATTCGTTGATAGTCTCCTTTAATGTGAGCATTGGAACGGCCCTCCCTGTAAAAGAAGGAGGCAATTAGCTCACGGGTCTTTCAACAATATGCAACACCAATTATTCACCACTGGATGTCAGGGTAGAGCCGGCTTTACAGGAAAAATTGAGGTGTTTGAAAAGCTTTTACAAGAAACATTTAGTAAAGATTACCAACCTTTGACAGTTGAAAGGGTAAAATAAAAAATCTCTCAAATTAAAAAAACAAAAACATTAGACACCACTTTTGAAAACTTGTTTTGTTGCACCCAAAAGTCTTTCTGTCCGTTCTTGTTGAGCAGCTACTTACTCTGTTTAGATGTTCAGATTTAGTTTTTCAGTCTGTCCACAGACCGTTAATCATATTTTGGTTTGTTGAATGTTGCACTCATTTAATGACTTTGACTTTTCCTTCTTGAGGTCTATTGTGGAATCAGAAGTGTGTTTATGGTCATGATCTTGTTGTTCAACCTTTTTTTAATGTAGTAAAGTTTGCTTCAACACTACCACTCTCTACCACTGTTACTGGCAGCAACAAAACCATGATCAATCCTTCCCTCTGCTTAGCAGTCGAAGAGATGTTTTTTCCATCATCAGGCCTACCTGTGATGACTACAGATTGTAAGGATGTAGTAGAGCAGTGCACCCAGGACAGAAATAGTATTATGGAGTTCTGACTAAATAGCATCAATTACAGTTTTTGATTATTGTCTGAGTTTGGATAGACAGATACCACTGTGCCAGCCGCTGTTCTGTCTCTTTGAGGAATCCCTGGTGAAACCTGTAGACCGGATCATAGTGGGTGGAGAGCAGATTCTTTACGGACTCTGGAAATGCCCCGTCTTTCGCTGCAACACCCTGTAAGTACTGGAAAATTGACAAGGGCACGCATCAATGAGCAGAAATAGAACACGGACAAGATATGTGCTCATGTGTGGCACAGTAGGAAGTGTCCACCATGTGCAAATTTCACTTTTGTTTAAAAAAAAAAAAAAACATATCCAAAAATACAAAACTCTATAATGACAATCGAAATCTGTAACCATCTGTGATCATGCATGAAGAACACAGACAAATACATGCATATCAACCACAGACTCATGCAGCAGTTTGGTAGGTCAGAAAGAGGGATTGGTCTTGAAAGCGTGACAGTGGAGATCCATCAGAGAGAGGAAGCATACACAAACATAATCCGATCCTCTTGGCACTATCCAAGCACACTCCAACCCCCACACGTAGGTGTTATATCCCCCCTTCAGGATAAATCACTCAGTAGGGTGGCATCTAAAGTGGACAGTAGGCTGCCCAGCTGTTTCACAGAAGGACAGAGCTAAAGAAAGGATAGGGGGATGGTAAGAAAATAAAAAGAAAGGGAGGTCTGTGGTTGCTTAGGCCTGAGCACTGCCACCCAAAGAAAACATTTAAGAGTTTTTCAAAAGGCACTAGCACACGCCTTTCACCCACATAAAAGAGGATGGAAACTGTTGTCAAAAGGAAAAAAGTGGCTGAGAAGGGTGAAAAAAAAAAAAAAGAGGACGCACATGTTTTCCCTTTCATTCAGAGTTCAGAGATCATGGTCAACTCCAATGACAGGTGCCTGAACCTGTGTTTTCCTGTTGTGGTTTTCCACCGTATTTGTTCAAATAGACAGTAAAGCTGAATTATATAATGTGTATTTATAAATGTAACGTCAACATTGATTCTTGTTTTATTTGCAAGCAAAAGATTCAACAGTCTGCAATCACTAAAAAGCCAATTATGATGATGCATTTGAAAAAAACTAAAAACCTAACTACATTCAAGTCTGCAGGCCCAAGAAGGGGGTGAATTCAAATAAGTGAAGTTCATTTTGGGGATTGTGATTTAAATACTCATATGGGGGTATTTTCCCCTGTTTTCTTTCCTGCACAATAAATGACTAATAAACCATCAGAAGCTGAACCTCAGACATCAGCTGTAGGTCAGGCGAAATTCACAGATATAAAAGGGCTATAACTTTAAAAAGAGCCAAAAGAGATTTAAGGAAATATTCATGCCACATGATAGAAAGCAGCTGCTGGCATCTTGTGATTCTAATTCACGTTAAAACCAAAACAGCGATTTAAAAACATTTTGCTGGGAAATGACTGTGAGCCCACTTTTTTTAAACAGAAACCCATCTAACCCCACCCCACAGCCTGGTGGACGAACATGGCTGGCAGGTTATTCGTGTATTTCCCAGTTGTTTCAGCTGTTTTGAAAAATGAGGGAACAAAGGAATGATTCAGAATTAATACCTCTGTGATGACCTGCAGATCTTTGAGGTAAGTCCGCTCTGTTGTCAACAGTTCCTTGGCTATGAAATAAGCTTTGTCTGTGGGAAACTTCTGGACAAAAAAAGGAAAGAAAAAATGTATCCACCATTCAATCCATCGGTCAAGATATTTTTAGGCCCAAGATAAAAAAAAGGAATAGCAAACTATTAAAAGGCTTAAGCTTTCAGTCATTTTGTTGGTAATTAAGCAAAACTGATCAATAGGAATCCACACGCCCACCTTCCGCCTTGCCTCATCTTCATCGTCATGGCGGATGTATCCAGCCTCAGTGAGCAGTGGGCTGGTTAACGGTGAAAACTGCTGTCCCTCAGGAATCTGTTCCACACCCTGGATGCTGGCACCACCCGTTCCCTGACCGTTTACAGAGCCATTGCCATTGACAACTACATGGGGACTTCCCAGCGGAGATTTCTCTGAACTGGGACTTTCTAATGGTGGGGAAGGACAGAAAATAGTGGGAAGGGGGACAAGGAGAGAACAAACAGTAAGCAATAAAGAAAGCAATACAATAGATAGAAATTCCATGAAATTCACTGCCAATACGTTTGTGGAAAAGGCTTCCAGAGTCACTGCAATGTTGAAAATCCATCCATATATCCATTATCGTTACCGCTTATTCCCTAAGGGGGTCGCGGGGAGAGTTGAAAATATAACGATTTATTATATAGAGCATTAAAAACTCAGTATTTTCACACATTCCTCAGATATCTAGTAATCAAACTGTATGGCAATGAAGTTCAAGGTTAGACAATCACATCATCCATCTTACAAGCACGTCACAATGACAGCTATGGTGAGTGAGCTGCACCTGACAGTTAATTTATCCTAAATCAGACTATATTTTCTACATTAGTTTGATTCACCTCTTGGTTAAAAGCGTTAGAAATGTAGAAAAGTGGAAAGAAACATTTTAGTGAGTTTGTTAGTAAGGTGTCAATAAAATATACAGTTTGTATATTTCATTAATGCGCATAAAAAATGTTAAGAAAAGGTTTGCTCCTATCTCATTCCAAACTACAAACTAGGATTTTCTATGGAGCTGGTAGCATCTCATTAGTTGGGATGACACCTAAAATCAACCAATTCCTGGTCTAGTGTCATTTTAGGTGAATTCTACTTCTGGAAACACCATGGGTAAACAACACCATCCAGACAAAAGAAAAGTTACTACCACTATGGCTAAAACTGCTAGATGTTAACTGCATGTTACTATTCTGTGACTGTATACTTGCCCGGTTGTAAAGTTTCCAAAGAGTCCACTGCTCTACACCACCATGAAAATGACCGAGTGCAGATCTGTGAGGGTGGGTTTAAGAACTTACCACTGAACAAAAACAACAATAAAAAAGAAACCTGTGGACACATGCACAACACTGAGCACAACAAACAGCCTCTATGCTACAGACTTACTAGCACAGCACAAGACAAGGTAAGGAGCAAAATCCCAAGCAAGTGGGTTCCCTCAAATGGGTGTATGAGGGGTCCATTTCTAGTAAAGATAACTCTTGAGTTCTGTTTTTTCGATCATACAGAGTTGTTTTTTTATTGATACTAGTGAACCAATGTGAGTTACAATGTTAAAAAGAGAGATGAAAGGTAAAGAGGATAAAGAAATAAAATGTTAAGAAGCCACAAATAAAAGATCCAGTTGTGTTTGGTGTTAAATGTGCAGAAAGAGTTTAACAAGATTGAAAAAAAAAACAAGTGACAGTGATTCTTTCTGAAAAATGGGAAGTATTTAGAAAGGAAAAGGCATAATTTCACTTCCTTTCAGTACCGGCGGCACTGCGGCCTCAGCGTGTTCAGTATTCATACTTATTACAACACATGCTCCAGAACCAACATGCACCACAACAGCGCTAAAGAAAAAAAGGTAGAAAATGCATAGCATGCAAATTTAAGCAGCCACAAAACTTTATGCTTCAGTACAATATGAAGAGTCAGGTAGCGAGTTTTAAAGAGATCATTTTAGGAAAAGATGGGTGATATTTGCATAAAGACATGCAGAATAGTGACCCCATGGCTAACTTTTACCACCTTAATCCCTGTAAATCTATATAAATGATTTGAAACAATGGGAAATATGTCAGTATGCTCACTTTCTGAGATGTTTAACATTGCTCTTTCACTTGTGTGAAAGTAAATATGAAGCCAATTAGCTTAGCATTAGTAACAACAACCCTAAAACACCCCAACCGATTGCTTCTATACTTAACTAACGTTTTAGATGCAAACGTTTTAGATGCAAAAAAATGTTATTTCAAGATTAGGTATCTTTTGGAAAAGGCAAGCAATTGGTTTTGCTAAACAAATGGTTGGCTCGATCTTTACATCAGCAGATATTCATGAAAGAGTCTTAGGCTCAGTCTCGTCCAACTGCAGTATTTACCAGAATATACGAAAATTTACTTAAGCAGTAACAACATATACACACACTCTTGTAGCTTATTTGTATTTTTATCCTATAAGAAACTACAATTAATTTACTTTTTAATTTAAAATAATTTCAACAAATTGACTTAACTCAAATTAAACAAAAACAATTACATTCCGAATACATTTCAGTAGTTTGTTACAACAGAACAGCTTGTAAGGGCAATTGCAGGCAAGAAAAGCGAGAAATAAGCATGCAAAGGGCAGCAGAAGTTGTTTGTATTAGATTTTCTAAACCTAGAATGGCCTTAATATCTAATCATAATACTGTATGCACAGTACATTCAAATTAAAAACAAATTCTGTCTGCAGTGGGAAACAGGTGATAATGAGTGAAAAAAGGACAAGTGAACTCAACTCCTGCATTCATTTGTGTTTACATATGTCCAAACTTTGACAGTATAATCGTTCAATTTTTACAAAATTAAATGCCATGTCTCTCAAATGCATCTTTTCTTTTCACACTTACACGAAACAATTAACTTAACTTTACTTTTTTCTGTCTACCCTTTCTTTCTTACACTGTTCAAAGAACACTGGAGTTGAGTCAGCCCTGTCCTGTCTTTGTGCGTTGTGTGGAAACCTGGAGCTTTACACAAACAATTTCTAAATGTTTGAAACAGACATGTGAATTAATTCATCATGAGGGCTTAGCAAACAAGATTTACAAACTGTACCACCAAAGAAGGACGAATCTTGTGTTGGATTACACTTGCAACTTGTTAAATTGCGCACAATGTCTTGCAAACATCTGCAACAACTTTCAGCACTGTGACCAAAACACACGTGACAAAGTGAGCAAAAGTAAAACAGAGTGACAGAAAAGCAGCATTTTTTCTGCCTGTTTAACATGCATTCACAGTGAAGAAAAGGAAATGGTGTTCAGAAGCCCCTCACCCAAAAAAATAACATGCTGAAAAACAGTGTAATTGTAAAGCAAGAGGCATGAATATTTGTTTCAGGAGGAAGCAGTAGCTGTGAGGAAAGAACAAATCATCAAAAACTGATGAAACATTTAAGACATTTAGTCGAATCATAAGTTGTTGTTTTGATATTGGTTAGAAAGATTTCCAGTTTTCTCTGAATAACTTAATTTTCTTGTTCCAATAACAGTTTGCTGCGTTGAGAAAACAAAAACGGCATGGACTGCAGGAGTGAGCAAAAGTCATCAGCCCAACAAATGACAGATGGGATGGGGAGCCTTCAATAAACAGCAGGATAAAAGTTGAGAAAACAGCAGGCAGAGAGACAGAAAGATACCAGTGAGAAACTCTCTCCGTGTCCAGTGCATGCCAGGGGCCAAAACCAAGCAAAGCTGACAGCTAAGGATAGATTAACGATAATGGCTGACATTTTCGATCATGGCTGATTGTGTGGAAAACCCTCAATGAGAGAAGAACGAACAGCAAAAAGCCAACTGGGGAAATCAGGTAAATGACACATGGACCTTTCGTTATCAGTAACAGATCAAACTCTCCCATACAGTTAAACTGATATTTCTCCACTAAAAAAGGAATATATACCAAAGTGAAACACTCAAAAGTCTTAAGCACAAATATCAAAATCACAGTGCTAGTTCGCTACAACAGACAGATAGGATTAAAAAAAGTGCTCAGAAGAGAAGGACATCAATTTAGCCAAAACCAAATGGGAAAGGCATACCAGCTGTTAGCTACAGCATTCCTCCTCTGGCAGATTTAACAGTCCCCTACAAAAGTAGTACTTTGACACAATCCAATCTATCCTAAAATACAATAAAAAAACACAGTCTCTTTAAAAGTACTATATATCAGTTCAATGATCCCTAAAAAAGGAAAACTGTATGCAACAGTTTTACTTCTACAACTTCAACAATACAAAACCAACAATGAAATCCCTTAGTGACCTTCTATTGCACATCACAAGGTGAAATAATTATAGGAGGAACTCTTACATATATGGACACACAAATAGTTCCCTCGAAGTATCATGCCAAAGGAAGGCAGCAGATTCTGGTTACGCTTCATTAATGACCAATACCATCTAAAACAACGCTTTCTCTCCCACTTCAGCACCTTAGCTTCAGTGGCAAAAAACTTAATAGACTCACATGAATACCATCAATACATTTTCAAGAAAACATTGGAAGGAACTGCTGGAATAATCTCCCTAAAACGCTCTAGATGTGAAGATTTTCCTCTTGATTTTCATCTACACTGAATGTACAGTTTTAGTTATGGCACATTGAAAAGGGAAGATTTCTTAAGAACATATTCTGAGCTCACATCTAACTATTTACAAGGAGGGGGCTGACTCACTGTCTGTAGATTTGAACTCAGCACTTTGTGTCCTTACTTTCAAGACAGAAATGAAGATCGTCTTGTTGTCACCTCATCTAGAAGGAGTGCATATGTTTACAATCTAAGATAGAAACCATACAACCTTAAAAAGGATTATCATTAAGTTAAAAAATATGCAAGAACCTTTGCATAATGTCTTACTATATAAAATGTGAAAAGATGGACACGATCTAAAGTGCTGAAATTCACTTTGTAGTCTGCTACTTCTTCTTTCAAATAAAAATAACAAACTAAAAAACTAAACTATTATTATTATTCTGTGGTTTATCTGTTATTTTCTACATTAAGGTACGCAATTTCACATCGTTTTGCATTGGGTATCATGGCTCCTCAATTTGCACACCTCTTTCCTATTCAGCAGCTAAAAACCCGACCTCCTATATCTTCCTCCTTGAAACGGTAACACCGTTCCTCTCCCTGATCCTCGCAATTATCCCCGTCCTCCAACTGCAGACGTCCAAAGGACAGTTTTCCGCATGTTAGTGGGGACGTGTTTACGGCGTTCGAGTTGACTGAATTCATGGAGTTGACGGCAGCCGGGTTGCCGTACATGAGCGGCTGGCTGTACGCGCTGCTGCCGGTGTCTGACTCCGTGTCGCTGGTGTCGGTTCCGCTGCTGGTCGACCCATCAACCATTTGGACCGGCTGATTTAGATTGTTATGGTTGTTGTTTGGCTTTCCCTGACGGCCAAACAGCCGCTGCGTAGTGTTGGAACGGGCCTGATTTGGAGCTACGAGGCTCACATGGTTGCCATTTGTTAAAATCATTCTCCTCTCCATTGGGGCTGAACAAGGGGCCTGGCCATTCAACCCAACTCGATGGGAGGGTTGATGGTGGATGGGAGTGGATGTCAACTGGCTAAGGATGAACGGATCAGTGTCAGAGCGATTCCTCATGTTATTGTTGTTAAATGGTTTGGCCAAATGCGTCGGTGTTCGGTTTGAGGTGATTGGGGAGTAGCTGCCATAGTGGTTTGGTGGGTGGGAAGACGGAGGGACAGCAGTAGTTTCTGCTGGGACTGCCCCAGGACGTTTGCTGAAATAATGTCCACCGTCATCCCACCGCAAGGCCGTACGCTGGTAGCTGTGACCGTTTGTCATCTCAGCATGACTGAAGGAGTTTGTACGTGGGTGGAAGCTGCTGATCACTGGGCTGGAACACTGGCTGCGAGTCCCAGTGCCCAGCAGTCGGCCGCCTGCTGCACCTTGCTTGTCGCGACTCTGAAAGACTTCACCCAACAGCGTGCTGTGGAGTGGGAGCCGCGCATGAAAGGAGCCTCCATTTGACAGGGTTTCGTCATTTGTTAGCTCATGACTCATATTAAACTTGTTGGCCACTTGCGATTGATCTACAGCATTTCTGTTCCCCACAACACCCTGCTGCATCACCCCAAGGTGATTGGTGTGGTAGAAGCCATTCACAGCCCCAAAAAGACTGCCAGCCTGCCCCCCACTGCGACCCACACTGCCCCCGTGCCTATACGACTCATCCTCATTGCTGTCATTTGCATTGCTGTGGCCCCTGGGAGCCCTGCTGCCCTTTGTCACGTCACATTCACTATCTATGTCGCTGCAGTCTATGTAAGGAATAGAGGAGCTGCTGCCTTTGTTTGCCCTGCAGGTTGGACCTGGGTTGAGGAGATGCTGGTCTGGTGCTGATCCTGTCCCATGCTGGTTCTGCTTGAGTAGGTCTGAGCCGGACATGTCAGGAAACCCATTGGTGGGGGGAGCGATGGACGGTTGCACCTCTGAACCATATGATTTAGTCTCCTGACTAAGTCTGGCTGAGTCGGTCTGATCCATTAATGGAACTGACATGGCACTCTGAGAAAAACAGAAGGGGTGGAAGAGGGGAGGTGGGGTGTCTTTGAATAAACTTTTCTTTTCAGCTTAACAGACAAACCAAAAAGCTGCTCAAGACAATAACAGCTTTGTGTTAAAGGGCTCCAGATTCAAAATATAAAAAGCAAATAAATAAATAACAAATTCAGAGTAAACTTAAAAAGGCTGGGCCTGTGGGTGGTAAAGTCCGACAGAGCCCAGTGATTTTTCGATTACCTCTTTTGGCACTTGTGTTTTGGAGGATGAAGACTGAGAAGTCATGCTGCTGTTGGACAGAATCTTACTGTGCTTCCTGTGAAGAGGGGAGGGGACACATGAGGTCAAACCACGAGCAAATAGTCAGCTAATTAAGTGACAAATCTGATTACTGATTTTGCTGCAGCCTCTGCAGGATCTGCATCTTCAAACAATTACTGCAGCAGCGAAAGGGATCTGAACAAATGGGATCTGTTTACCTCTCAAAAGGAACTTTCTTGACCTCAGAGTCTTTCACATAGTCGATGATCTGCTTCTGGGTTCGGCCACTGTAGGCAGACAATGGGGGGAAAACCAGATGGTAATTTCACGTCAAGTTTAGCATATTCCCACATAAAATTTTAGATAAAATTAAAAAATTATATTATCATTGGTAAATTATTCCTGAGCAAAATGAAGATACATTTCCAGAGGGTGGCTCAGGTTTGCAAGATTTAGTTATTCTGTGCTTTTGTTACATAGAATGCTGAAAACATTATTCTTTTATTAAAATTTGGAAATGTACATATTTTTGTGGCTCTCTAATTTATACATTTTTAGTTTTATCTCAATGAGGAAGTCTTTGAAATGTAACACTTTTTAAACAACAAAAAGAACATTTGCTTCTGAAGGGTTAGATGGCTTTTTATATTCTCTCCAGAATTTACGCAAAAACCTTTACTGACTCAACTGTATCAAAACATATCCAGGTATCAAATTATTCATTTACGTTTTAAAATTATCATTCTTTTAGCTATTAACAATGTCATAACTTGGTTTTCACTGTTTACTCTGGCTTCTCTGAAACAAGGACTAAATAAGCAATATCATTCAGTTATTTAATCTTTTAATTTGACCAATATGTGACAATAAAGCCAATGCAATGTGCCCATGTACACCAAGTGATCCACGCAAATTACTGAACATCAACAGTTGCAGTTAGATTGAACAATTTGTTTAATTTAAAGTCAAAACTCCGTAAATCTGTCCCATTTCCCTCCCCAAAGCAGTTAAAAAGTAATGTAAAAAAGAAAAGAAAGAGGTGGTTGTTAAAATGAAGCTGCAACTGTTTCCAGTTCTTTCCTCACCTGAACCGGAATGAAGATCCTCTGGTGAAGAGGATGGGCTTGGGTTTCGGCTTGGGCTCCTCAAAAAGTCTGAAGAAGGCATGATATTCTACACAGATTTTCCAGAAAACCTTGCAGCAGTCCCTGCTGGCCATGGCAAACTCCAGTGTGTCGTGGTGGGCGTTCTGCTGTGGAACACAAAGCATACATTAGTGTGGATGGAGGTTATTAAAATGAAATGTCCCAGTGAGAAAGATACAGATACAGAAATGTTACAGACTTACTGTGGGGTCAGCTCGTAGTTTAATTAGGAATCTTTTCCTTTTAAAGCTCAGCTTGCGAATCTTTGACCAGTTAAAGGCGTTTATCTTTGTGTAGCCCTGAAGAAAGACAGAAAATAAAAATAGTTATTCAACAATTGAGATATATTTCTCTAAATAATTACTAATATGCATTTGTGCTCGAAAAAGAATTATGATTTTACCCCTGAAAATATCGGAAACATTTAACATTTGTGACAGAAGCACAACTGGATTTTAAAAAGCAAATACTACAAAGCTTCAAACTTAGATTAACCAAACTCCTCTTTTAGTTCAACTTCTCTTTGTATGAATAAAGAAGGAAATGGATAAAATTGGGCTCAATCTGTTTTTAAAAAAGGCACCAGAAAGTGTCACATCAGACTGGCTGAGGAGGAATTTACTTTATTACTCCATCAAATGCATACTGAAGCCAGGCTGCAGCAACTATATTTAAACTTAAACATGTAATTAAATGCCTCTGTATAGGCTGGGTGGCAGTTTTCATAATCACAGCACAAAACCTTAAACTGAGGGAAAGCATGCCGAGATCCACCATGATTGGATGACTTTTTGGAGGGGGGGGGAAAATGGAAGGAATTTAAAATTCAGACTTATATCACAGCCTGCTAAATACCTCTACTGCAGATTGTTCACCTGGCTTTCAGGAGCTCTAAAGAAATATGTGATATTCTCGTTTCAAGAAAAAAAAAATCTTGATTTCTTGCATGATTCTGATCACGATCAGTCACAGGACTTCAGCTATTCAGGGTTTTACCTGAAAAACCAGCACTCCAGTGTGTGCCACAGCCAGGCTGAGTTTAGTTCCCTCTCTGTCCTTCGCTGGGTGCAGACGAACGCCATACATCTCAAGTCGCCGAGCGATTTCCAGCAGCTGGTAGTCCGATTCTGCTGGAGTCTGCCCGCTGTGGAAACCAGTCAGTTATCAAACAGTTAATGTTCCAATCATTCAGAAAAAAAGAACTAAAATATAATAACTTTTTGTAGAAAACTAGTTGCTTGCAGATAAGGGCAGTCAGTCTAGAGAGGCAGCCACCAGAGGCTGTCACTATGGCAACAACTTCACCCCCCATAAACACGATTGGTAACATTTTGAAAGATCAATATCCCTAACCTTTAGGATGAATGTCACGGTTCCACATGCATATTAAAGAAAGCATCCACTGCAGGATACTATTTTAAGACTTGCTGGAGAAATCTTAAAATACACCACAAGATCAGATGGAGGAGCTCGTAGTGGGTGGAAAAACCCAACACAAAAGAAAGGAGTTTCCTTAAAAAAATCTGAAAATAGCTTCCTGTTTCCTGTATATGCTGCTGAATTAGCCATTTCCTTCCTTTGCTGGTGAAGAGGACGCTGAGGGATTGAAGCAAGGCGAGAATTGGTCTGCGAGACACTGAGAGCTGAGAGTTTGGCTTTTCTGGCTTTTCCTCTGGTGAAGAGGAAACTTTAGAAATGTTGCCTTTCCAGAGAATAAATCACTGCATTTGTCATGTGTTTATTCCAGCAGCAGGGAAAACACGCTTGTAATGTTAATGAGAACAGTGCATGTTGTGTGTGTGCTGTCCCAGGGTCACAAAGAGGTGCCAGGTTGTATGATGGCAGTCTGTACTGACTCAGTTTTGGTCTCTGCAGGGGCGAAACAGAGGAGCTGGATATCTGTGTAGTGGATGTGAACAGACTGATAAATATCTCTGTTTAAGATTTAACCTTAAATTAAGTTTGCTTTGTGTGCCAGCAGATTAGAACTCAGTTCTATTTGTAGTGGAAGCAGTGCTCATCTTTCTTTTTCTTTTTTTAACCATTTCCAGGTTATAGCAACATGAGCATCTTAATGAATTTCCTGGCTTTCATGTAGTATTTATAAGGTCTATCTTCTTTTTCTTCCATCAAAAAAATGACAAAAAATTTATTCGCAGTAAAATGTTCCTCCTTTAGTTATGGTGAACTTTTGTTGAACAACATCTGTAGGCATTAACCTGAGCTCTTGGAAACTGTAAACTCACACATGCTTGCGGTGGCATTCAGTGATCTTATCTCTGATGGCATCCTGGTCTGGCAGGTACTTATTGTGGAGAAGGTGCTGCCAGCTCTGTGTCTCATCGAAATCTCCAATCTCAGCTGGTGGTAGGGAGAAAGGAAGCGAAAAAAGGTTTCATTCAGTGGTCAGAATAGGATGTTAGTAAAGGAAAAATAGGATTAAAAAATTGATAAAATCAAATAAAAGATGCACACTGGGAAGCCTTTGTTGTTTCACTGTCTGTTCCATTATAAATTAGGAGAAGTTTGCTCATGCGTGTCCATCTGTACCGGTAACAGTAACAATCCCACATATGCTCCCGCCTGCAGGTACACTGACAGGCAAACCATTTGTGGTTGGCATGACAACTGAGCAATATTCCCTGGTGCCGTGTTGTTGTCAGGCCCTGTAAGTAAAAGTGCAGCTGACAGGGCAAATTGGAAAGACTTTGTAACCATGGCGACCACAGTGCTAAGAAGACCATAATATGCTAACTTCTAAATTCATAATGTCATGCTGCATGTATACTAAAACAAGAGAAAAAAAAATGTTGTACATGTTGTACATTTCTCTCCTGCCCCTTATGGTGAAAGTGCATTGTTTCTGCTCCTGTCTCTTTTCGGCCTCCATCCTGAGGGGTCAGGTCTGCTCAGACTGGTAAACTCCAGTGCCCTCACTGGTACCACACACTTCTACATGAACATTGTTGAAAGATGACAACATATTTCATTGGATGCTAAATGGGTTGATGCGCCCAGTCCAGGATGAGCCATTTATGCTAGAATCTAATTATGTAGAATGAAATTCAGTTAAGGCAAATTCTGTTTGCTCAAATGCTTTATACAAGACTTTGAATTGACATGCATTAAACTCAGCTGAGCATTAAACTTAATGACAACTGGCTGGGTTATCTATTGCACGCCAACAAATACAACTCTGCCCCCTCAAGAATCTTGACTCAGGTTATGATAATTCTATATGTGCAAAAAAACAAAGCGGATGGGTAATTTACTGAAAGCAAATGCCTCTTCCATTTGTGCTGTACTCACATTGAATGATGTGGGAGACCATGAGAGCAGCGCTGGTGTCATTGCAGATGAGATGGCCACAGGCTAGGTCACGCTTAATCTGCAGGGCAAACAGATACCTGGAGACGGAAAAAAAACACACCAGAAATTAAAATGTAAACAATAAATTACATAATGTTTCTTTGTCTTAATAACAAACAGTTAATTTGATGCCCAAACCTGAGGTTCACAGAGATGTTGTGCGTGTGTTTGTGTGATTAATGGTGCACAGCTCCTTTCAGTGTAATTTCCAAGTCCATGACTACTTTGCAAATAGAGTTAATGAGGCTTGTGTGATTATGTAGTTCAATTTTAGCCTGGAATGGAAAGCAGTGGGGAATTTCAGCACGAACCAAACCCACGCCACATCATGTCAGTTCAAATCCTTGAAATGGAAGAGTGTGCCCAACATAGCCATCAAAAAGACACTGATTTGTCTCATACGTTTTTTTGGCCCATTCTTATTTACAGGTTGGGTATCTTTCTTCCATCTACAAGTCGGCCTGTGCTGCCCATGAAAGGAAAACACTGACAGATGAAACTGTGATAGAGCCAAAAAAAGGGAAAAGGCTGCCTGCCCACTTCCTGTTTAATGTGAGACTCAGCTGAGAACGCTGAGGTAAACCGAGAGGCTGAATAGCAGCAGTGGAAAATACTGATTTTCAAACCATTCACTATCCAAAGCAGCTGCTTTGTCATGTGAAAATGAACTGAGGGGTATAGCTCTCTGAGTGGTAGAAACATTCTCGTCTAGAGAAGCTTCCTTGTCTCAAGTGAGTGCAGCTGGGCGGCTGAGAACCGAAGCATCATGGGAAAATGTGGAAGGTCACATCGTTCTTCTGTTTATCTTTCAGTGATGTAAAGAGGCGGAGCGGTGTGGGTTCAGACAAACACAAACAGGGCAGTCGGCCCTGTGAGGACTGTCTTGCCCAAAGTCAAATCGGTTGTAGAGATTTGAAACTTTTTAAGCAAGCAAGTTGGTTCTAAAATTATGACTCAAGACCTAGGAGTGGTCCTTATTTTAGCGGCTTTATGTCTAAATCATGTCATGAGTCTTGTCTCAACATTATAGAGAAAACAAAAAGAACTTTGTCTGATCACGAGTGATGGGAATTACAGAGAGGTCAACATGTTACAGATAAAAATATCACCAATAAATTGTTCAGTGATGGGCTGAGAAGACTTGAGTCAGACAGGAAACCAAGTTCTTTTAACCTGAGGAGTGTTTCTTCTTATGGATGTGGTTTCAGTGCAGAAAGGACCTACCGAGTCAGCTCCTCTATGAACTGTGTGTGGTCAGGAGGGAAGAACTTCACCACAAAACGAAGGATGGTGTTTTTAGGCCCTGAGGGGGAGAAATTATGGGATACAGTTAAGAGGGAAGAGACCAAAAAAATAGACATTTTCTTTTCACCACCACTTACTCTTCCTACTTTTATTCGCTATGTCTGATTTAAGAACATTTGCAAAAACATGAGTTTTTATACAGACATGCTGACACACAAATCACGCAGTGTATCCCACTGTGTATCTGAGAGCTACTTACTTCTGATCTGCTTCAGCGCCGGTTTCAGGAGATCCAACCACACCTGTGGAGAACAGAAAGCAGCTTAACCACCTGCTAATTAGCCTGTAGAGGCAATTCTGTGATTCTTTTAAAACAGGTTGTATGCTCTGTACAGTTCAGCCTGTGGTTAATCATTTTGATCTAAGTGACAGAAAACAAATCTCCAGCGTTGGGTAAACATTATTTCTTACCTAAAACTGTTTAAGAGTGCCAATAAGTAAGGCTGTCCCTGATATCAATCTGAGTGTTTACGATTCAGAATAAGACCAGGCAGTTGTGAGTCTGATATGTGGATTTCCCTACTGGGACATAGAGACTACACACAGTGAGTAAATTAGAAATTACTGAAAAGTTTAGAAACAATAAAGGATTTTAAATAAATTTTAAAAAATGTCTTTCTAGAAAGAAAAAACAGTATGAACAGAATAGTGTTTTTCTAACTTCTTAGTCCAAAAGAGCTGGCTCTAGCTGATGCAAATCTCGAGCTAAAGCCACGTTTCCTGGTCTTACCGTCATCTTCCTCTGGTCCTGGTACTCCAGTCCAAAATAGTCCCCCTCTGTCAGGTTGAGATGTGCTAAGACGAGGTCAAACAGCACTTTACCAGGAGAGCGTTGCTGTGAGAGACAAAATGAATTTGATTAAATACAGATGACAGGGAGGTGAGAGGGGTGAAGATGGAGGTGTGGACTAACATGGCAGCTAATCAGGAGAGTATTGATGATGGAGCACATTTGGGAGAAATATGAGTCTTTGTCAAAAGTTAAAAATAGGTTCTGCAAATTTCCTTCAAAATAATGTGTTTTTTTACATTCACATCACAAAGAGTCTCACTGATTCCATTCTGTTCAAAGAAGCTTCATAAACAATGACTGAGTGACCTCTTACCCACCTGTAGGGTCTAATCTTCATACTTAAATCTAAAGAGCTCAAGGCTAAAGCTTAGCTGGCAGGATTCAGAAATGACAACATGCCTCCAAATAAATGTGGATGTGCTCCCACATACAGGCAATGGATGAGGAAAAGGTGAGGGGCGACCAAACTTCACAAGTACCACACAACATCTTCAAAAGAGGGCAAACATAAGCATAATTCCAGTAAATAACTAAAATGTAAAAGTACAGCTGAAGTGATTATGACATGGAACCAAATCCAAAATCAATCCTAAGTAAACACTGCAATCCACAGCCCGTCATGCTAAACAGATGTAGTTTGCCAATTCTTTGAAAAATAACCAGCATAAATTTAAACTATTAGGGAATCAGATAAGACTATCTGAGTTATTATGACAGTCAACATTCCTTTTTTCTAACCTGAATCCTTACAGCAGAACTACAAACACAAACATGATGTCATGCTTGACTTGAAGACAAAACACCCAATCTAGATGCACCTAAGATTAAGCGAAGGTAAACTAGGTTTTTTTTTTTTATTCCTTCCTACAAGAAAATGACTTGCAATCTACAATTAAGAACTAAGACACTTTGAAGTATGCAAATCTGCCGAAATTAATTTTTAAATTCAGCTTAGTGCTTTGACTAAATCAGCTTCATCAACAATATCAATAAATTGTTTTTCTATATTATCTGTGTATTAATTTTATGCTTTTGTTGCTCTATACAAATAATTTGGAGTGAACATTTTATCATGAGCATAATCCCTGAATTTATGTGCATTTTAGTCAAGATATTTAACTGTGTTTGTAATTTAGTCAAAACATATTTTCAACATCTCAAAAGAAAATACTGGCAGGACTGTGTATACACTTAGCTGAATTCTCTCCCTTTCATAATTTACACATAAAAAAATCTGCTCTGCATCCGTCATGTAAACAGTCCCATGTGATTTCATGCAATACACACTGGTGAGAGTTGCCAACATATGGCCTTTTGTGTTTCACCTCTAGAGGGCACCTCGCAAATTCATACTGTTTCACTGAATGTAAGGATTTGTATTTTATGAATCCTGATTTACACAGGAATGTTAATAAGTGGCTGTATTTGATTTTCAAAACCTAATTAAGGTATTACTTATTTAAAACAATACAATATTTTCACCTTCAAAGCTTTCCATTTGTGACAATTACAGATTTCATAAAAAAAAAAAAAAAGCTTTTCTGGTACATCCAGACATATTTCAGTGAATACTTTTAACAATAAGGTCAATCATTCTGCTGCCAAAATAGTTTTAGGGTTTTAACATAGTAGACATTATACATGGAAAAGTTAAATAGTCACAGTCCAGGGTGTACCGTGCCTCTCGCCCATTGACTATTGGGACAGGCTCCAGTCCCCCCCTGGATGGATGGAAGTTCAATATTCAAATATGAGCCAACCACTCATCCTAAAGGTGGGAGACTGTTAGAGTTATCTTCTTTACGTGTATTGAGTTTGTGGCATACTGTATGTGGTATGCTTTACTTTGGCATCAGAAACTCACTGATGGAAGATTAACAAATGAGGTTAAGCTTTCACCAGTACTGAAAAGCAGATGATGCTGTGAACCACACACATACTGTAGGTGAGGAGGAAAGGCCAAAGTGGGAGCCAAGTCTGTCACCATCTGGTTGCCGCATGTGTGTGTGTTCAATCTGTCTTCAGAGACACACCCACGCTCTGTTCAGCCATCCACATGAACACAAGCACACACGTATTTTCGGCAGATGGACACAAGCTGCTGTTTGATTTGGAGGAAATAAACTGACAGAATGACATCCTGTGTGTATGTTCTCACTGGAACGCTAACAAGAGACTGACAGATGCTGCTCTCATTCACAGAGTTCATGGATGTGGCATTTGGACAGACTTTCATCTGGGTGGTAGTAAAGTTGGTTTAAAGGAGGTTGGAGGAAAATCTAAGATGGAAAACATTTTGCTTCTATTCCACCCTTCCCATTCTTTTACCCAACTATGTCCATAAATACATCAGTCTGGTTCTCCTCATTGATTTCTCATTTAAACCTTACATCACTGGCCTTTTGTTTGCAGCTGGTCGTACGAAACAGCCTTCGGCTTTCCAACGCTAAGCTGCACTAGTTTATCTTTAACTGCACGTTATTAAACAAAACCTTCCATGGAATCTCTTCCACAATAAGTCCAACTTAAACAAAAAAACTGAGTTTTCTACCATGCAGAACAATGTTGGGTTTAGAGGAGGGGCAGGGTTTTTAAGAAGTGACGAGACAAAAAGGATAGGCAGGCTGAAAGAGGCATTTTCTAAGACTGTGTGATTTGCTTACAAGATACACGAATGCTGCTCCAAATTAGTAGAAACAAGGATGTGACAGATGAAAAATTTAAAAAATAATTGCTTGGAAATGTTTGTTTGTTTGGCAGATAGAAACATGTCTTCTTAGAACAAAAACATTTTTGAGGTTGATTTATATTTAGAGGAACAGCAATTTCTTCCAATAACAGAAAAACCTTTTCCAATAAATAAAGAAAACCTGTGTGCCTACATTGAGAAGATACCCCATATAACTTTCAAGTAATTTAAAAGATTGGAATTCTGATTTAAATGTCTTTGGGGAAACAGCAGTGACATTTTTGAATACCAATACCAGTTATAACAACACCAGACCCTAAAACTCAACAGCTGGATCTTCTTACAGCTCCGCCCAAAGATTAAACACCTTCAGACACTTTAATTCTCCAACCATCAGCATGAAGTCTGAAGTAAACCCGATTCTGAAAGCTAACATTGTTAAAGGCCAGTCTCTACTTGGTTTTCTGTCCAAACAACAAGCTGCCAGTCACACAGCACAAACCTGCATGTAACCAAAACTGTGTGTGAGAAAACAGCCACAATGAAAAGGTGCGAGCTGAAAAGTGAGCTGGATCCAAAGCAGGCGTCAACCTGATAGGCAGGGTTAGAATGTGTGTGCACGCTGGGGTAAATCTAAAAAACAAAATAACATCTAGTGGCTCGAGGAATTCATCATAGCTGGTCAAAAGGTTCAAACTTTAAAGCTGTGGGTAGAGAATAAAAGCACAAAGCCAGGAACAGTAAAATGAGTGCTGATCTGAATTTAAGGCTCTAGGAACATTTGGTAACATTAAATTCAAAAGCACATTTACCTGAGTAATTTTATTTTCATGTTTACTGACATCTGCAGCCCATTTCTCTTTAAATCAGCTACCTCACATATGGGAAACAAAAGAGAGAAGTGGAACAATGTGAAAAAAAAACCTAACGTTCTCTCAGAATGCAAACTGGAACAGGAAACTCAAAGCTTCTCATTTTATGGATAGGATGCCCTTTATCCCCTCCACTGGGACTGTCGAATACAATAAAAGACTTGTTTAGGAAAAGTCTGAACTTTATCTTTTTGTATGACACATTACTGAATATATATAACATCCAGATCTGATATTTAAAAAAATAAACAATAAAAACTTTTAAAGTTATGACAACCTACACAACAGATTTGTCTGTATTTGTTTACTTACTGAGATGGATAGTCTAAGAAGACTAATTCACTCACTCCAACTATGATGTTGCTAAGAATACAAATATCTGGTGTGTATGTGTGTTGAAGTCCTCCAGCTGAAAGCAGACCGGCTGGTCCCAGCAGAACCCAGACTAATATCCTTTCACTTCAACTCACAATCGCTTCTTTCAGCAACTTCTATCAATGAGCCTTTCTTAGTCAGCCAAAACCACAAAGTTGTGCACAATCACATTTTGATCAGACTATATGAGAGGGTTCAGTTTTGGTCTGATTGACTATAGAAGATGTGGAATGCCATTTTATTTTTGGACACTTTTTTTGGTGAAAATTCATGCTACAAAACATTTATGAGTTTGCCTGCTTGCACGCAGACAAACAAGTAGAAACATTTAAAAAGGGGAGAAGAAAAAAGCTTTTCTGCTTGGCCTCCAAAGGCAACGTCCAGTTTGAAACGGCTGTCCCTTTGGGCCTTACATCAGCAGGGGCTAATTAGAATGTCTGACAGGAAGCTTGAACCGTCAGCGAGCTGTGCTGGAATCTGGCAACCAGCATCTCACATAGGTTTTAAATACAAAATGGCTATGGACCTGAAAAAAAACCCAAATCCAAATCCAATATTCTTGTTTGTGGAACAAAGAAAAGACAAAAAACTCATCTTAATTGTTGGGACATTACTGAGTATCACAGTGAAAGTTAAAAGCAAGAAAGTATGTCTGAAGCCGTTTCTTCAGCGTGTTTAGCTTTCATTAAATTACTCAGCCTCCAATTTTTGCATCAAATCAGACATAAATTACATACTAGCTGTATTACAACTCGGTATAATAATATCCATTATGGTTGGTAGGTTGAATGTGATTAGGGAATAAGTGGTTATGAAAATGGATATTTGGTCACTGATGGATGGATGGATGGATGGATGGATGGATGGATGGATGGATGGAT